TTTTTTTTGTTTGCAAGTGTACAAATACTCAACAACTCAACAGATAAAATTGTGAACTTCAAGGTGCAAGCAGTGTCTTATATAAGGTGAGCTTGTCTGCAAGTGTACCTAAAAGTTAAATGCAAGAGAACACACGTGTAGATACTACTGCCACGTGGATGTTGACGTCATTAATAGTTATTATATATATTGTGCCTATCTAAACAACTCATTCATAATCAGACCTAGAGACTATAATCACTTTTAATCAAATTTTAATTGGTCAAGTGCCATATCAGTCCAACCAAACACCAATAATTAGTTCAAAATTGACTATAACTGTCACAAAATAATAGCACAGCGGGTCGGACCATGTCAAATTCCCCCATATTTAGCACAAAAGATAATGTATTTGCATCAACTATAGGATAATATTATTACACACATACATACATACATACATACATGTGTGCTACAAAATATTAGGCAAAATTGCATATTAATGCACTACCTGTTTTTGTTATTTAATTACCACCGTTACGATTTTGCAAATTAATACACGACCTTTTTCCATTTTTGCAAATCGAGACATGAATGACGGTTCCGTTAACGAAAATCTGATCATTCATATATCGATTTGCAAAAATGGTAGATGTGTTGTATTAGTTTAGCAAAAAAATGTAAAGGTAGTGAATAAATTTCAAAAACACGAAAGATGGTGCATTAATATGCAATTTTGCCAAAATATAATGTTGCGAACCTTTGCAGTAGTAGTTGGGGTGGATTCTGAAAGTGGAGTGAGTACGGCTCGGGCATGGTTTGCTTTCTCGAACCCAATTGGCTTAGCTCTCGAACCACGACAACCGCTGGCTCTGCCTCGGCTGGCTCGTGGGTGAGCCCTCAGAAAATAAATTTGATCTGCATATTTCTCCTTCACTAATAATACTCTTGTGCACCCTTCATATGCATTGGACCTTATGAAAACGTCTTTCCCTATTGACGACATCCTCACAACTCTTTGCTGCATATGTGATCAATAATTAATTTCCTTTTAAAATACACAAAAAGATCTAAATGTTTATCATATATATATATGAAATTAATTTTTGCGCGTACTAAGTTTTATTAAAAAATATAAAAATTAATTACTTGGATGAGACAATGAATCACCTTATTGTGTTGATGAAATTAATGGCTTGTGAGATTAATTTTGTTGGAGATGAGAGTTTCAGAGTTCATTTGAAGAGTCCCCCAAAAAGATTGGAGAAAAGAAAAATTAGAGTTCGATACGATATGGTGCAAAAAAATGAGTGGACCTCAACCTCTTCTAACAACTAATGGCGCTAAGTTGCTTTTCTGTAAAATACATAATAATGAAATTTGACTTTCAATTCTTTTTTTTTTTTCCTTAAACGATAGATTTCATTACTAAAAGAATACATAATTACAGCCGGTCATAGCCGAAATGAAAGGTCTACCCAAAATAGCCTAGAAACTTCCTTGTGAAAGAAAATACACTCGAGACTAGGAAATTGTGTTCTATTATTTGTATTTATTAGTATTAAAATTGGGAATGTGAGGGATTATTTGCGGTTTTCCTTGCAGCGTTGCCTAAACCCATGGAGGCTCCATTTGTCTCACCTTGGCACGCATTTCAAGACAGCTATATGTAAACAAACTTACAAAGGAGAGTGATTTATATTAAAGTGCACATGAAATGCACGTGGTGGTGGCGAATGATTTTCGCGGAGTAAGTTTGTAAAATAAATTAATTAGTTTATTAAACATATCATTGTAGAAAGGGTTAATTGCCAAAGAAATCACGACCTTTCGTTGAATTGCAAAATAATCTCAACTTTTTCAATTTTACAAATAAATCTCAACTTTTATTAATTATTGCAATTTTGTCTCAAAATTGAATTCCGGCCATCCGCCGCCACCGGCCGCCGCCCGTCTCCGGCCAACCTCGCCGGAATTGAAATTCTTTTACGTCATCGTGTAGCTCTCCTTCCGGGCAACAACATACCCGAAGTTCGCGTAAAAATTATGACAATAAGGGGTTCATTTTCTCAGTCAATAGATGACCGGAAAACTCGTCGCCAGAAAAAGTCACTGTTTTCTGCGATGGTGAATGTCAACAGAAGCGGCTCGGCGAGAGGAGTTCAAATGTACCTTTGGATTCGTGTGGGTCAAAGCGAGTCGCCGAAAATTTGCGAAAGAACGATGGATAAAATTTGTAGATCTACTTGCTTTTACCGAGAAATTGGACCCCTTATTGTCGTAATTTTTACATCAACTTCGAATATATTGTTGCCCGGAAGGAGAGCTACACGATGACGTAAAAAATTTTCAATTCCGGCAAGGTTGGCCGGAGACAGGCGGCGGCGGATGGCCGGAATTCAACTTGAGACAAAATTGCAATAATTAATAAAGGTTGAGATTTATTTGTAAAATTAAAAAAGTTGAGATTAATTTGCAACTCAACGAAAGGTCGTGATTTTTTTTGCAATTAACCCTTGTAGAAATGAAATAAAATATAAAACAAATGAACTCATATGTGATTTTTTATTTATTTAGAATTAACGTAACGATGTCCTAATATAGAAAGAGTGAAATAACGTTTTACAACCTCCAAAAAAAATATATTAAAAACAAATCCCAAAAAAATAAAAAAAAAATACTAAGATTTTCTTCCATTTTGGTTTTGAATTTCACATAACAAACAAAATACATCAATACTATTGCAAAATTTCTCTTAATTTATTTGGCAAAACGCTTAAGACAAACTCATGTCAAATATATATCGGATTTGGGAGCTCTAGCCAAAACGTAAGAATAGTTATAAGTTTACATCTATTTTTTTTTTTTTCCTTTTTTTGTTTTTATTATGAATTGTTCCAAATCTATGTAAGAAAAATATACCACAAGTTTATCTTATGTTATTCTATACTTAATAAAATTGATTTAAATTGCATGTAAAATTTATTATTATACTTTTAGATCAATTTATTATTTTAAATTTGTACTTATATATATAATTTTATATCAATATAAATAATTATATTATTTTTATTTTATTTGCAATATATTGATCAACTCAAACGTCATTGAAAAAAGATGATGTGATATATTGCATATAAAAAAGGTACCAAATATAAAATATGAAGTATTTCAAAATTTAAAAAATTAATGATAGAAAGTAAAAAAATTATTAACTAAAAAATTTTAAGATTAGCATACCCACTTTTAAAGATATATATATATACACACACACACACACACATATATATATATATATAT